TGATTTTTTTTATTTTAGTCACTCATTTTAGGTTGAAATTAATTTAAAATAACTTAAGTAACAACATAAACTTCTATTATTAATTACTCACCCTCATGTTATTCCAAACCATTAGACTTTTATCTTCAAAACACAAATAAAACTGTTTTTAATTAAACCTGATGATCCATATGAATCAAGCGGTTTAATCCAAGTCTTCTGAAGAGATATGATCACTTTATATGATGAAAAGGTTTAGTTTAGGCTTTTATTTACATATATTAACAATGATTAATGCACATACATACAGTAGAGCACATCAAATATGGTTAACAGAAGCTCAACTGTACTTGCTTGATGCACGAGAACAAATCTCATTGGTTCTCATATAGTTTTATTTTATGATCTTTTACATGCCAGTGTTTTGGTTTAATGGACTTTCAATGGAGGGACATAAATCTCTTATTTCATTAATAATATCTTAATTTGTGTTGCATAGATAAGCAACAGTATTATGGCTTTGAAACACACAAGGGTGAGTAAATGGTGACAGTTTTTTTTTTTTGTGGGGTGAACCATCCCTTTAAGTGCGGCATGCATTGTGTCCCAAGCCCATAATTTAAAAATTATTTAAATAATTTTTTAATGGATAAAATGAATTAATGCTTTAAAAATAACAGTGTCTGAATGGTTTGGGTTTGAATATTTCAGTCATGTAATAATATAACCCTGACTCGTTTGTAACCTTTTAAAAGTATTATAATTCATTTGCATAATTTGGAAAGGAGTGAAAAAAATTCTCAAAAAAATGTAGTTGGACTGCACTGAATTGAACGAAAAAACAACAGCTTGTAATAAAGAGCTAGGAATGCGATGCTGTGTTAATAAATGTGAGGAGTTAATTAGAAACATGAAATCACAAACAAAAGAGAACGCCTGAGGCAGACCTACTGGCAACATTGGTGTCCTGTTAGTAACACACACACACACACACATACACACAGAGAGAGAGAGAATCCATATGTCTCCTGTGTTCACTTCCGCCTGTTTTTAGAAACTACATTTAGCCAGTTAACTTGTCATAACCATGAAAACAGTATTTCAAAATGTATAAAAATTATCTATGGTGTATTACGAGAATATGTTCAAATACAGCATACAATAAATAGTACCAAAGATAAGGCTGTGTTTACATTGAATGTAGTGCTTTGGTTATATAAGACTGTTAAGTTATGTTTCTGAGGAAACGGCACAGTATTCACTGGTTCCGTGAAGAACCTTTAACATCCATGAAAAAATAATTCACTGATAGGTTCTTCGAGGAACCAAAATGGCTCCTCAATGGCATTGCTGTGCCCCCTTTTGGTACCTTAATCTTTAATAGTCTAAGTAAAGAATCATTGTTAGGATACAAAAAAATAAGACAGTCTGGGCCTCAGATGCTGAGGGAATGTTATGCAGTTTGAGGTTTGTAGTGAGACATTTGTGTTGTGATATGTATTTATTGTCAGCAGCACCTCACAAACACCCGAAAGGAAAATCGCTCGGTAACAATAACAAGCATTGCCGCAGGCACAATTAAAGACTACACCTAAGTCTGCTGTCAGAAAGAATGAATGTAAGAGCGCACACACGCTCGGTCACACTCTCTTTCTTAATCTTACTCTTGGACTTTCTCTCTCTTGTTTTATTTCTCTCTTTTCTTTGAACCTGAACTTCTTCTGACTGGAATACATTCACACGTTATCTCTATCCAGTTAGCAGAATACTCATGAAATATGCATCTCACATCCATCTCTTTGTACTTTACATGAGAGTCAGTCATGTTGTTTTTCATACCCACACTTTTGCAGCAACGCTTAACCTGATTCAATCTTTATACCTCATGCGTCTTAAGTCAGTGTGAAAGTTTTTATTGTAATGCCATATTTGTTTGTTTATATGAGGTTAGTATTTTATTTAATAGGCTACTGGAGTAACATAACTGTTTCGTTCAATACAAAAGCAAGGATAGCATTTGAATGAAGGTTTTTTTTGTAGTACAGAAGCTCTTTTCCTGACCTTTAGATTAAACCTTAGGTTAAGCTTCTCTTTCCTGTCCTTTCAATAACCCTGAAGAACAACTGTGTGTAATGAAAATCAACTGCAGTTTGACAAGGAAATGGGAGATGACAGATACATATCAAAACTGATGCACTGATAAAAGTGATAAAAGTATAAATGTTTCAGATGCATATCACATCCTCAAGCTCTTGATTCTGAACTGGTGAAAAAGTATATATCACTTTGTCTGTCAAAGAAAAGGGTGATCTAAGGGTAAAAGATTAAAGTATAGGTCGATATTTTGTCTTCCTGCAGGAAGTGTGGTTTAATCCCTACTGTCTCACTCTGGATTACCACAGATGTACATAATTATCTGTCCAGACACATGCAGGTCACACACAAAATATGTTACACACAGACACACATCACTCACATGCACAAACACAGTTCACACACTAGAGGCTAGCTATAGGGACGTAAGTTTAAATAATTACACAACACTTTTGTACATATTTCATATGTACTGACCAAGGAAGTCTATGATGCCTGAAGAAAGCTTTCCATTAACATTCCCATTCATCTTAATGGCAGTTGCCCAGCAAATGCAAGGCCCCTCAGAGGTATGTGATATGAATGCTCCCATCTTGGCTCCTGGGCACTTAGTTCCTGGAAACATTTGTCATGTGGCTGATTACTGGTCAAAGGCAGTGGGTAGAGAAAAAAATATTTTTTTCAAAATATCCAAAGGTCCCCGCGGGTCCTTAAAAAGTCTAAAAATGTCATCTGTCAAATGTCAAAATGTCCAATTTAAGATCATAACAAATGTCTTAAATGGTATAATGGCAAAAGTCTTAATTATAATTTTAAGAGGGATTACATTTAGGGAAGGAAAACAGGAATCGTTATACAGGTTAATGTGATTGTTAAACTTCAAATGGTGACCACCAGTATTTAGAAAAAAGAAAAAAAAAAAAATGAAAGTCTGAGTTAGAATAGTTTCCAAGAGTGTGATTATAAAAACAATGAGGCTGTGAAAGTGGACTAGTGAGTAGATGAGTGTACCTGTCTGGTGTGATGACGTTTAATGTCCCAGATAACCTCTGTAGTCCCGTTTAGTAACTTTTTCAAGACATGCAAAAGCTTTAAAAAAATCACATCTTGAGCTTATGTTTACCACATACCTTATTTTAGGTATTTAACCAAATATAAACCCATCTATCCATCCATCCATCCATCCATCCATCCATCCATCATCTATCTATCTATCTATCTATCTATCTATCTATCTATCCACATTTTGAGGATTCAAAAGTTGTATGTTATGTGTATCTAGTTTTATACAGCTGGTTTATTAGTCATGTTCTCTACACAATGTTTGTGTACATTTACATAATAGTGTCTCCTCTCTCAGCCACGTCTGTTTTTGTGAACAATCTTTGGTCATATTAGACTTTTACACCCCCATGTCTGTTATCAGAATGATTTGTGGGAAGTCTTCTGCTCTACATGAGTATTTGATTTTTCTCTGGGGGAAAGTTTCGTGTATTGAAATAAATTAATAAAACCCTAACCAGCATGACATTGGCAAAATTGCTGCTATACTGGGTAGATATAAAATAATTGATGTCCTGCGTGTATGTGTTTATCTGAAAATCTGTGTTTGAGTGACAGATGTGCACAGTATTTTGTACAATGTGAAAGCTATTTCAACAGACTAAATTGTCCTTTTGAAGAAGGAGAAGTGTTCTCTTACATTTACGTTCAAGGTATTTAGCAGATGCTGTTTTCCAGGGCAACTTACAAAATTGCTTTAGCATCACATACAAGACCATTGTTATCAACAGATGGCATGCATGCAATTTGGAAAGCTATCTTCTAGAAAGCAAGTGCTTCCTATACCGGTATGAAAAAACAAGATAAAGCTTGACTTTTGACTACCTTTATTCTAGGTTGTGTACTACAACTAAGTGATTTGAACTGTGAGTGTAGCAGAGGTATGATGTTGGGAGTACTTAGAAGTTCACAATATTATTTTTGTCATCAGGAGAGAAAGAGAGGAAGGCGTAGGTGGAGGGTTGAGTAGGGAGTAGAAGGTGCAAAAGAGTTTCCTCGGGGCAGCAGTGTCAAGCTTTGCTCCATAGCTTTTAGACAAGATTGGAATATGAGATACAGTCATCTGGAGTTCCCTTATGTTCTGTCTGAAAACCCCTGTAAGCTATGGAAACTTGTTTCTGCCATGGGGTAAAAATAAATAAATAAATAATAAAACATGCAATTGTGACTTTTTATCTCACAGTTCTGATTATTTTTCTTGCACTTCTGAGTTTATATTTAAATTCTGAGTTTGATAGAAAAAAAAACCATCAGAATTGCGAGAAATTAACTCTAATCGCAAGTTTATAAATTGCAAGATAAAAACTTGAAATTGTGAGAAAAAAGTCAGAAGGATGGTTGAGACCTTATTATTATTTATTACATGGTAGAAACTATATATATATATATATATATATATATAGATAGATAGATAGATAGATAGAGATAAATTATGAGATGTAAACCAGTGTTGCCAAGTCATGAAATTCCACTGTTTCCGCAGGTATTACGTCATAATTCTGAGAAAAGGAGTATGACAAAAAGTCAATTGCAATACAAAAATCTGAATTACAAGATAAAAAGCCACCGTTATCTTTTTTATTGTGTGGCAAAAGCAAGTTTCCAACCAGGCCTACTTGGTGGAGGCAGAACAGAGAGTCAAAATAAGTGAAAGATGCAACAGTTGATGCTGCTGCTTCGATAATGGATACATCATAAGGTGCTGGTATGGTTAGGAAATCTGAGCGAAGTGAAGTGCCATTTGCTAACACCTTTGTATGAAGGTTTTGGTGTGGGTGAAAAAGACTAAGCAGAGGAGCACAGGCGTTAAGGTGTTTTCAGTAGTGCAAATATGTGTAATACATGTTTGTGTCTGTGGTCTGCAGGTGTATACACGGTATGGGAAATGTTACACATTTAATGGAAACAAGACATCACCCAAGCGGGTAAGGCAAGGCGGCACAGGAAATGGACTGGAGCTGATGCTGGATATTCAGCAGGACGAGTATCTGCCCATCTGGAGAGAAACCAGTGAGTGACAAACACAATTGCTGCCATTTTGCATCTCACTTAATGATTGTAGTAAAAATTACTTTGAAAAGTTTCAGTATTCATTGTACTGTTTACTGCAAAGCTGATTGTTTTGTACAATGTAATTTTCTTTATATACTACCATTTAAAACTTTAGGGTCGGTAAGTTTTTGAAATGTCTTTTAATCTTACCAAGGCTGCAGTCACATATTTGACCAAAAATACACAGTACAAACAGTAATATTGTGAAATATTATTACAATTTATAATAACTGTTTTCTACTTTAAGATATTTTAAAATGTAATTTATTTCTGTGATGGCAAAGCTAAATTGTCAGCAGTCATTACTACAGTCTTCAGTGTCACATGATCCTTCTCAAGAAACATTTCTTATCAACATTCTAAACATTACTTTGTGGGAAATGTGATACTGTACATGATTCTTTAATAAACAGAAAGTTAAAAAAAGAATAGCAATTTTTTGTAACATTATAAATGCATACAGTCACCTTCCATTAATTTAATGTGAATAAAAGCATATATATATATATATATATATACAGTTGTAAGAAAAAGTAAGTGAACTATTTTCAATTTCCTGGTTTTAAATTGGTCATGAAATGTGATCTGATCTTCATCAAAGTCACAAATATCATCAAACACAATATTTCTAAGCTGATAAAACACAAACAGTCATGATCTTTCATGTTTTTTATTGAACACACCCATTAAACATATAAAGTGATGGTGGAAAAAGTAAGTGAAACAGTGCTTTAATAACTGGTTGAAACACCTTTGGCAGCAATAACCACAAGTAAGCGCTTCCTGTAGCTGTGTATTAGACCTGCACAACGTCCAGGAGTAATTTTGGACCATTCTTCCTTACAGAACTGCTTCAGCTCACCCTTAGGACGTCTGGTGTAAATGGCTCTCTTGAGGTCATTCCACAGTATCTCTATTGGGTTGAGGTCTGGGCTTGATTGGGCCACTCCAAAGGTGGATTTTATGTCTCAGAAGCCATTCTAAAGTAGATTTACTTCAATGTTTAGGGTTATTATCCTGCTGCATCACCCAGCTTCCTCTGAGATTCAGCTTGCAGACAGCTACCTTGAGATTATCCTGTAGGATATCCTGATAAACTTGGGAATTCATTTTCCCCTCTACAATGGCAAGCGGTCCAGGTCCAGAGGCAGCAAAGCAGCCCCAAATCATGATGCTTCCTCCACCCTACTTCACTTTTGGGATGATGCTTTCATGTTGGTACAGTACGCTGTTTTCTTTTTACATCATAAATAGCGCTGCATGTTCTTCCCAAGCAATTCTATTTGTCCACAAGACATTTTCTCAGTAGTGTTGTGGAGTGTCAAGGTGGTCTTTGGCAAACTTTAGGCATGCTGCAGTGGCTTCCTTCGTGGTGTCCTTTCATGGATACCATGCCTGTTCAATATTTTACGTATGGTTGACTCATGAACGGAGAGGAATTCATTTTCCCCTCTACAATGGCAAGCGGTCCAGGTCCAGAGGCAGCAAAGCAGCCCCAAATCATGATGCTTCCTCCACCCTACTTCACTTTTGGGATGATGCTTTCATGTTGGTACAGTACGCTGTTTTCTTTTTACATCATAAATAGCGCTGCATGTTCTTCCCAAGCAATTCTATTTGTCCACAAGACATTTTCTCAGTAGTGTTGTGGAGTGTCAAGGTGGTCTTTGGCAAACTTTAGGCATGCTGCAATGGCTTCCTTCGTGGTGTCCTTTCATGGATACCATGCCTGTTCAATATTTTACGTCTGGTTGACTCATGAACGGAGATGTTAACCAGCTTCAATGAATCCTTCAAGTCTTTAGCTGTTACTCTAGGGTTCTTTTTCACCTCATTGAGCATTCTGCGTTATGCCTATGCCACTTCTATGGAGAGTAGCCACAGTACCATATCATTTCCATAGACAGTTTGTCTAACTGTGGACTGATGAATATCTAAAGTCTTTGAGATTACTCTGTAACCCTTTCCAGCAACATGCATATCAACAACTCTTGATCATAGGTCTTCTGAGGCATATCTCACATCAGATAATGCTACTTGTGAATAGTAATCTGACACTGGTTGGGTCAGTTCAGCTCTAAACCACACCTTTATTCTCATTTCATTGATTGGACTTCTGGTTTGCTAACATCCGACTGCAGTTGGCATTTAGTGACACCAGAAGCCTAGTGTTTTACTTACTTTTTCCACCATCACTATGTAAGTTTAATGAGTGTGCTCAATAATGACATGAAAGATGATGATTGTTTATGTTTTATCAGCTTAGAAATATTGTGTTATAGTGTTGATATTTGTGACTTTGGTGAAAATCAAATAAAATTGTATGGCCAATTTATGCAGAAAAACAGAAAATGTATTCGATTACTAACATAACCTCAGTTCCCTAAGATACGGGAATGAGTACTGCGTCTGCTAAGACACTATGGGAAAAAGTCCTTTTTTCTCCTTACCTGAAGACTTTTTTCAATAATGCAGTGTAACTGCACAGCCATTGGTTCATGCAGTAACTTAAAAACGAACCAATGGCAATGAAGGAGGAGCCCACCAGAATGGGTGGGGCCATCTGGCTATATAAGCGGGAGTTTCGCCACAGGATCCTCAGGTTAGTTCGACTGAAGCGATGACTGAGTCGTGCAGCTACATAGCACGGCTAGCTGCGCAGTACTCATTCCCATATCTCAGGGAACCGAGGTTACGTTAGTAACCGAGTACGTTCCCTATCGATACTTCACTCGTACTGTGTCTGCTAAGACGCTATGGGAACCAGTACAATCACGCTGTGCTATGGCAGAGGAATGACTACATATATAACTTGCCTTAAGCAGCCGGGGCCCAGAGGGAAGTAAAACAATACATCTCCAAGGCGAAAACGGGCTAAACTCACAGAGGTCATGCCCGGCCTGGTTGATCGTTCCAGAGGATTCGTACAGCCTCGGCACTCCAAGGGCCGAGAGCGCACAAGTAAGCAGACCTGGCGAGTTTGAGTGTGTTACGGCCAAAACTCTTGCTCAGAGCTGGTTCTGCATAAAGCAAGTGTGTGCCCACTTAAGCAGAAAGTACCCTAGCCTGCAAGGCAGGGACGTCCAGGTTGTAAAACCTAGCAAATGTGGACGGCGAGGCCCAGTTAAGGTTAGCAGATTGTAGCGGCTCAAAGGGAGGGCCCTTCAGGGCCATCAGAACAGTGGGCAGATCCCATGTAGGGACAGTGAGGCGGATTCAGCCTCCTGGCCCCCCTCAAGAAACGGACAACTAAGTTGTTCCTGCCCACCGATTGGCCCGCTATAGGAGCATGGGAAGCTGCTATAGCTGCTACATAGACCTTGAGCGTGGATGGGGAGCGCCCTTTATCCAGCAGCTCTTGTAGGAAGGACAATACCACTGATAAGTCAAAGGTAGACGGTCCTCTCCGCGGTTTAGGCCCCAGGTGGAGAAAACAGACCACTTATGGGCGTAGAGGCGTCTTGTAGACATAGCTCTACCCTCCAAAATAGTGTTTAACACACGCTCTGGGAGGTTTACAGGCTCCCATCGAGCGGCCAAAAGGGCAGAGCCCACAGCTCGGGCTGGGGGTGCCATATTGTCCTGTTCGCCTGAGAAAGGAGATCCTGCCTCAGGGGAATGGGCCAAGGGGCTGCTACGAGCAGCTGAATCAGCTCTGAAAACCAATGCTGGTTCTTCCAGAGGGGGGCCACCAGGAGAACCTTGTGTTCTTGTTCTCTGACTCGCCTGATTACCTGTGGGATCAGGGCGATCGGGGGAAATGCGTAAAGGAGGAGGTTGGGTCAGTCGTGGGCCAAAGCGTCCCTGTCCTTCGAATAATAAATTGGGCAGTGAGAGTTGTCTTCTGAGGTGAAGAGGTCTACCTCTGCCTTGCCAAAGATCTCCCAGATTTTCTGAACCATCTGCAGATGGAGCATTCACTCCTCTGAGGGGACCTTGCTCTGTGATAGCATGTCTGCTCCTCAGTTCAATCTGCCCGGTATATGCCCTGCTCTCAGCGAACGCAAGTTGAGCTGAACCCATTCCAGGAGGCGCTATACCAGGATGAAGAGGCGCTTCGAGGAGAGTCCTCCCTGGCGATTTATGTAGGACATCACAGACATGCTGTCCGAGCGGACCAGAACGTGGTGTCCCTTCAGGTCTGGCAGGAAGAACTGACAGGCCCGACACACTGCTAGCATTTCCAGGCAGTTAATGTGAAGCCCTTCCTCTGCTTTCGACCAATGGCCGAAATTCGGTTTGCTGTCACACAGAGCTCCCCAACCCCTGTTGGAAGCATCTGTAGAGACAACTGTCCTTCTGCAAACCATTCCCAGGGCCACGCCCTGTTCCATCCACTGAGAGTCCTTCCAAGGGGCTAGGGCTGTTACTCAGGCCTGGTCCACCGTGATACGTAGGCATCCGTGATGCCGCGCATGGGATGGAACCCACGGTTTCAGCCAGCGCTGAAGGGGCCGCATACAACGCTCTAAGTGGCTGAGGAGGAGGGTCCTGTGAGATAGCAATTCTGTCTCTGACTGGGCCAAAATGAGCCAGTCATCGAGGTAGTTGAGAATGCGGATTCGTAAATCCACTTTGTAAAAGTACAGGGAGCCAGAGACAGTCCGAAGGGAAGGACTGTATATTGATAAGCCACTCCCTCGAAGGTGAATCTCAAGAATCGCCTGTGATGGGGGCAATCTGGATGTGAAAGTAAGCGTCTTTCAGATCCAGAGAAAAGAACCAGTCCCCTGTGTGAATTTGTGAGAGGATCTGCTTCAGCGTAGTCATCCTGAACGGCCTGTCCATGAGGGCGCGGTTCAGGCGTCTGAGATCAAAGATGGGCCGGAGGCCGCCATCCTTTTTGGGGACGAGGAAGTAACGGCTGTAGAAGCCTGACTCGCTCGGAGCTGGAAGAACCGTCTCAATGGCTCCTTTTGCCAGCAGATTCATCACCTCAGAGTGCAGAACGTGTGCGTCATTGCTCTGAACCGAGGTAGGAACCATGCCACTGAAACGCGGGGGTCTTTGAGCGAATTGAAGTGAATAACCTCGTTTTATTATCCCCAAAACCCATTCTGACACTCCAGGGATGGCCTGTCAGGTCTCGGCCCGTGTGGCAAGGGGCTGGATTAGTTCGAGTGGCTGGTCACTGCACGGGGACAGGGCACTCATGAGAAATGGAAGAGGAAATTTGCTCTCTTTTTGAAAATGTTTGTGCTTTATTTTGTCCACGATAACAGCGGATGGTTGCTTGGGCGCTTGAACGTGCCCAGAAATCGCAACAGACACATTGCCTTCTGCACCCCAAACTGAACGGGGTGATAGGAGGCTTAAGAGAGGCCGCTTGGGGGGTGGTCCAGCTGTAGCGAGACTTGGCTCCCCCCTCTTCCTGTCCTGCAGATCAGGATGACGCCTGTGGCATGGGGTCCAACGCTAGCTTGGGCTGGGGTCCCTGGCGCTTCAGGAAGGGGTAGCGTCTGGCTGAACGGGAACTCCCTCGGCGCCCTCGGGACGGCAGCAGCAGGTGCAGGCTTCGCAGGCTGCTGAGTCGGCATAGGCTTAGAGCGACTAGAGGCAGCTGCAGAGCTGGAGTGCTTTGGCAGTGTTATGGCTGTTTTTGGTTCTGTTTTGCTGTTGTTTTCTTTGTTTCTATAGGTTGCCAGCTAAGGATCCACCTGTTCTTAATTGGAGGACTAGGTATTTAAGAGTCCCATCCTTGTTTGGGAGGAGGCTGCTTCTTTTGTTAACATCCTGCCTTTGAGCTCTGCTGGACAGCTGGACCCCTTTGCCATTATCTTTCTTTAAATCTTTTTTCTGTTTATTATTCATTTATTTGCTATAATTCATTCTTTATTCCTATCTGTAACCCCTAGACTGAATAAATGCTTTTGGCTTAGAATGATACTTTTGGACTCAGTTCCCTTATTTATTTATTTTTCCCGAGTCGGGATGTAACAGCAGGAAGTGTCGCATGGCCTGGGACAACTTCTGCGCCTCTGTAAAGCGTTCCACGAAACCCTTAGCCGCAGGTCCAAATAGGCCAGTGGGGGAGATTGGGGCGTCAAGGAAGGGGACTTTGTCCGTGTCCTTGATTTCTGTCAAGGTGAGCCTTAAGTGGCACTGAAGCACCACTAGGCTGGCCATAGATCTCCCAATTGCCTGAGCTGTGGTCTTAGTGGCGCGCAAGGCCTGGTCCATCACGCTTCTTCTCCCTGAGCGTCGCGGGGTCTGGGCCAGACTCGTCCATGCAGGAAAGGAGTTTCCCTGAAAGACCTGAAGGACCGCCATGGAATGGAGCGCCTGTCCAGCAGAGGAGTAGGCACATCCAGCAAGAGCTGAAGTAGTCCTACACGGCTTGGATGGATGGGTGGCCTTTGCCTTCCAGCCGATGGCAGTGGGCGGGCAGAGATGCGCGGTCACTGACTCGTCCAGGGGAGGCAGCTTCTCGTACCCCTTCAGTGCCATCTACCAAAGTGAGGGCGGATGAAGCGGAAGTATGGAGGCGTGCCCAGTAGGGGGCACGCCACAACCTGGAAAGCTCTTCGTGGACCTCCGGGAAGAACGGAGAGTAACGCTGGCGAGGGGCCTGACGGCGCCCCGGCAGGAACCATTCATCCAGACGGCAGCGAGTGGGCTCCTCCGCCGGAGACCACTCTAATCCCAGCTCTTCGACCGCTTTCGAGAGGATGCGGAAAAGTTCAGCATCCATCCAGACTTAGGCGGCGCTGGGCTCGGACGATGGCAAGGGGGTGGGGGCGGTAACCGAGTCCGACAGCTCCTCTGCGTCCGAGGCTGCCAATGGCAGCTCGTCGTCACTCCCACTGAACGAGACCAGGTCGCTCGCGCTGGCGGAGGGACGCTGGTCAGGTTGAGTAAAGACGACGGGGGATGCCTCTCTGTGTGGAGAGAGCGAGGCACGCGGGACCTGAGCTGACGTGAGCTCGCTAGCATCCGAGCGCTGAAGTCCTCTGCCCCGCTGCTTTTTCCTCACAGGTTCCTGGGAGGAAGAAAACGCAATGGCGCGAGGGGTTTCCACGTGGGATTTCCCCAAGCAGGAAACGCACTCACTGTGACCATCATCAGCATGCAGGGGGGACCTGCACGTGCTGCAATAACGGCGCTGCATTTGAAACAACGCCGATTTGCTCTTTTAGAATGCTCTTTTAGAATCATCACTGGATGGTGGCAGGGGAAGCGGGACCACTGCTGCTACGACGCTGAAGGCAGCGGATCAGCTGAGCAGAGAGAGGTCGCTGCCGAGCCATTGGTTCGTTTTTAAGTAACTGCACGAACCAATGGCCATGCAGTTATACTGCATTATTGAAAAAAGGCTTCAGTTAAGGAAAAAATTGACTTTTCCCCATTGCGTCTTAGCAGACGCAGTACAAGTGAAGTATCGATAGGGATATATATACAGTATATGTGTATATATATGTGTATATATATATATATATATATATATACTCAGACAGATTTACATCCATTCATCTTCAAAAGTGCAAACAAATAGAACATCTGTCAGATTTTTTTTACCCATACAATCTGTCCATTTTCAGATGAGACGACACTGGAAGCAGGTATTCGGGTTCAGATTCATAGTCAGAATGAACCCCCGTACATCCACCAGCTGGGCTTTGGGGTCTCTCCAGGATTCCAGACATTTGTTTCCTGTCAGGAACAGAGGGTAGGTTTAACTGGGGTAAAACCACCAAAAAACTTTTAAGGTCTGAATGTAACAGCAAGCTGTTCTAAACTCTTGAATTCCAGATATTTTAAATTAGGAACTAATTTACAAAAAGTCAAAAAGATTTCAGGGCTGACTGGGGTATTTTTTAATTGAGACTGCATGTGCTAAGTATTTCACAGCCATAGGGTGCACTCAGGCAGAAAAAGAAGCAGAGACACACAGACTTTTTCTCTAAATGTCTACTGTTTCTCTAGCTAACATGCCTGCCACAGCCGTGGGGAAACTGTCGGGCTTCATCTGACCCTGTGATCCCAGGATACGACACCTACAGCGTCAGCGCTTGCAGACTGCACTGTGAGAGCACACAGGTGCAGAGAGAGTGCAACTGCAGGATGGTACATATGCCAGGTGCGTGCTGTAGTATGAGTGGGAGAGTTGTCATAAAAACTGTCTATATCAGTAAGAACAAATATGCCGTGTTGGTACTTGTCACGCCACCACACAGCTCATCTGTAAAATTGTTCTTTAAGCTGCTGACAGATTGGCAGCTGCATCACAGCATTCCTTGTTTCACTGTCGAGTCAGTGGCTTTCTTAGAAACCTTAATGGAGCAGACTTCTGTAAACAATCTACAAGCTCTCTTACTGATGTGTTGGGTAAATTTTTTACACATCAAATATCTCTCTACAGGCAATGCTGATATCTGCACACCCAGTAAAATCAAGTGTGTTGACAAGGCTTTAGGTAAGATCATCACAGACACATCTTAAACACACAATGCTGACTGATCATCTCAAATAATTGTAAAGTTTAAAGGGATAATTCACCCCAAAATTTAAAATCTGTCATTATGTACCCACCTTCATGTTGTTATAAACCTGTAATTTGTATGATTTTCCTTCTTCTGTGGAAGATAGTTTGAAAAACTGTTTTTTTTTACAAACTTTGAAAGTCAGTGGGGTCCAAATTAACGCTGTAACATTTTGACTTTCAGTATATATATACTATATATATATATATATATATATATATATATATATATAAACAACACTGAGACATTTTTCAATATATTTTTCGGTGTACTTCACTACTATCTGTACTCTATTTGAGTTCTGTTAAAATCAAAATACTCAGACTTTTACTCAGTTACATTTACAAGGTAGAAATAATACTTTTTCTTCATTATAAATTCCTGTTGGCTTAAAGGTACATAAGTCACATCCTTAAAACGTTTGCCATTTATTTAAAAATAAAAAAAAATTATTTCTTTATCCAAATGTGGTTTTGAAAGACAAGGAGGATAACTGATGACAAATGCTACATTTTTGTCAGTGAACTAGTCCTTTCAGACGTAGGCTTTGAACTATAGCAATGTGTTTTTATAATAGCCATTGATGTAGATGAAATTGAGTCAAGTGTATATATATATATATATATATATATATATATATATATAAACAACACTGAGACATTTTTCAATATATTTTTCGGTGTACTTCACTACTATCTGTACTCTATTTGAGTTCTGTTAAAATCAAAATACTCAGACTTTTACTCAGTTACATTTACAAGGTAGAAATAATACTTTTTCTTCATTATAAATTCCTGTTGACTTAAAGGTACATAAGTCACATCCTTAAAACGTTTGCCATTTATTTAAAAACAAAAAATTTGTATTTCTTTATCCAAATGTGGTTTTGAAAGACAAGGAGGATAACTGATGACAAATGCTACATTTTTGTCAGTGAACTGGTCCTTTCAGACATAGGCTTTGAACTATAGCAATGTGTTTTTATAATAGCCATTGATGTAGATGAAATTGAGTCAAGTGTGAATATGATTTAAGAATAGTATTGATTATTCATCTAAAATCATTATATTCAAATGTCAAACCACTGTAAAAATTTAACTGAAAATATATAGTGACAGGTTTCAGGATATTGGTTTTAGTTTAACACCTGCTGTGAGTTTTACATACAGTTGTCAGAACAATAAGAAAATAATGATTTTTGACATTTCTTTATGGAGTTTGATGGAGCTTTTCTTCATAAAAATACTAAAATTGAAAAAGAAAAATCTGTACATCGTTTCTCAATTTAAACTCAATTTAAAGATAAGAACATTTTTTATTTTTTTACTTTTGAATACTTAATTAACTGAGTACAATTTTTGACATAGTATCTGTACTTTTCACACCCCTGGTAAATAATGAATAATCAGTCAATAATAATGATATTTAAACAGTGATTATTCACAACTCTGCTGATTTGAAGTAACTGAGGTTTTAAAAGCTCCCTATTGTATTTTAAACTATTGAACAACACTGAGAGCTTGATTATTGATGATAACAACAACACCATTTATTGCAGTTCCTGTCCTCGGCAAATATAATTCATCAATATTTCCTTTTACACTTCTTTTGCAGCTTTACTCCAGAAGAGCACAGGTGACTCATGCCCCTGCGAGACACCCTGTAATTTCACTCGGTATGTAAAAGAGCTCTCTATGGTTAAAATCCCCAGCAGGGGCTCTGCTCGCTACCTTTCTCGCAAATACCAGAAATCGGAGGAATACATCAGGTAAGTCTAATGCATAAACGGCCACACATACACACAGTCTCATGGGGTAGTTTTCATTCTGCTGCTGAACATATTTGAACATTATAGTTTATACCCTCAGACAGACCAGAGAGGAAACAAACCCTGCAGTTTTTCCATTGGAAGCTAAATGTGCTTCTGCAAGGATACCTGCACAGCATTTTTTATTTATTATTTATTTATCTATTTTTGCAAAACATGCTTCTCTCACAAATTCTATCAGCCTTTTCTAATAACTATAGCAGGATTTTATATTGTCCAAACTGAGGCTCGTTTCTGTCAGTTATATAATGGGATGAAAAACGTAATTGTGGTCTTCCATTCATTGGCTCAATAATAGAAAAAAAACTATTTTAATAGACTGCTCTATAATGACATTCTGTGGTTTCTACTAATTATTATTTTTTAACCATTTTTGGTGCTAATCCTTTTCTTTCCTTAATACAAAAAATAATGGGCTCATTTCCATACTGTTATTCCCTGCAGGGAATTAAACATTTTTATTAAACTTTTCATTGTGCAGAGACAACTTTCTCATCTTGGATATTTTCTTTGAGGCCCTTAACTATGAGACAATAGAACAGAAGAAAGCGTATGACATCGCTGGCCTGTTAGGTAGGTTTACAATCCCCACACACTATAAACATCTGTACTGCAACTGTTATGGTCATCAGAAGTGTGACATGTCCACCTTCTCAAAGATTATTAAAGGGATAGTTCACCCAGAAATGAAAATTGTGTAATTTTAAACCTGTTTGATTCACTTTGATTAACAAAAGAGAAGAGGCTTTTCACACTATTGTCTCATGTTTTTGTTCAAACAATGAAAGTCAAAAGGGTCCAGTGTTGTTAAAGGGATAGTTTACCTCCAGTTGCTGATCCCCATTGACTTGCATAATGTTTTCTTTTTCCATACTATATGGAAGTCAATGGGGACCAGCAACTGAAGGTGAATTATCCCTTTAACATTCAGAAAGAAATTCATACTAATTAAGAATGTATAGGTTGTACTTGGAGACAAGAGGTCCAATAAATGCCACATGTCCAACATTTTGTGCAGCATTGTACAGACGTTGAAGCCCCTTTTTTTTTTTTTTTGCTAATTTTATCTTCATAAAACTATACATTGGGTTATAGTTTTGTCATCTTGACATTATATTTTGGGCCATAATTTTCATTATCACATGTATTAGGAGTGAAAACACTTGGCATTTTTTAATGGATGTCATAGGAGGACTAGCTTCAATATGCTGAGTTCAGTACGCTGTTCATATTATTGAACTGATGATAAATATAATAAAATACATTTAAATCTGAGCCGTGATTTTGATAATCTCGTTTATTTCTGATTCTGTGCTGTTTTGGCTAATAGAAGTTCTTAATAGCCGGTAACATAAAGGGTTAGTTCACCCAAGAATGAAAATTCTTTCATTAATTACTCCCCCTCTTGCCGTAAGACCTTCATCTTTCAAGATGTTCATCTTCGGAACACAAATTAAGATATTTTTGATGAAACCCAAGAGCTTTCTGGCCCTCCATAGACAGCAACGCAACTGAAATGTTCAAGGCCCAGAAAGGTAGTAAAATAGTCCATGTGACATCAGTGGTTCAACCGTAATTTTATGAAGCTACGAGATCAGAGAAAAGAACATGCATGCGTCGTGATACTCTTGTGAACATGCATCGAAGACTAACATGGATGAGAAGAAATTGTTGAATAAAGTCATTAGGGCCGGCCGAGCACCGATGGTGCGAGGACCCTATTGGAATGGCTGTTTCTTCTTCTTCTTCTCCAAAATGAATCGCATTTTTGAGGATCTAAACATGCTTGAAAATTCATGAAACTTTGCACATGCGTCAGAAGTGGCGAAAATTTACATCTGATATGGGTTTCAGAAGTGGGTGTGGCAAAATGGCTCAATAGCGCCACCCATAAAATTTCAACGAAGTGCCCCTCGAGCTATGTTTCACATACATGTACGAAATTCGGTAGACACATGTAACACACCAATACCTAGAAAAAGTCCCCTGGTATGAAGTCCGAAACCCAACAGGAAGTCTGATATTTTGAATTTTCTCTGCAGGTTTTGTGCCGCTTTTGCCATTTTCAGGCATTGTATTTAAACTAACTCCACCTAGAGATTTAAACAAATCAACACCAAATTTGGTCAGTGTAATCTAAAGCCCTTTGTGGCGTTACATTGCAAAGATATTGAGTTTTTGTTGAAGGGCGTATCCGTGGCGGCCTGACAGATTTCGATGTTTCGCAATAGAATTCAGGCAGACAATGTCCGATCTGCCCCAAACTTCACATGTTTGACTAGAGTCCTGTCCTGAACCCATGTCAATGCCCATATTCAGTTATAGTCATATCGCCACCTGTAATGTTAAATTGCAAAGATCTTGAGTTTTCGTTAAAGGGTGTTGCCCTTGGCGGCCTGACAAAGTTCGATGTTTCGCCATGGGAATAGAAGTTGTTGTAACTCAGCCATACAAGGTCCGATCTGCCCCAAACTTCACACGTTTGAAAAAGTTGTGGCCTGAACACATCTAAAAGCCAATATTATGTGATAATAATAGTGCCACCTGTTGGCAACAGGAAATGATTTGTTTTACACTAACGTAAAAATACATGTCCAATCTGCACTAAACTTCACATGTTTGGTAAGAGTCCTGGTTTGAAGACATCTAAAAGCCAAAATACAGTTATTATCATAGCGCCACCTGTTGGCAACAGGATATGTCATGTTTTACTCAAACACACCATGTTCAATCTGCACCAAACTTCATATGTTTGATCAAAGTCCTAGCTTGAAGACATCTACATGCCAATATCCAGATATAGTCATAGCGCCACCAGCTGGCAGCAGGAAGTTTGGCAGATATAAATGACTTTGACATATTCCTCCTATATTTACCACTTTAAATGCATATTGCCCACTGTTCGCTGTTTCCCTAAAGCCACAGGTTGGCGGTGAGCCTGGGTGCGAGGGCCCTTTCAATGCTGGTAGCAGCTTTAATAATTTTTGTTTTCTTTGTGGACAAAAAGTATTCTTGTAGCTTCATAACACTACGGTTGAACCACTGATGTCACATGGACTATTTTTAACGATGTCCTTACGACCTTTCTGGGCCTTGAATGTTTCAGTTGCGTTGCTGTCTGCGGGGTCAGAAAGTTCTCGGATTTCATAAAAAATATCTTAATTTGTGTTTCGAAGATGAACGAAGGTCTTATGGGTTTGGAATGACATGAAGGTAATTAATGAGAGAATTTTCATTTTTGGGAGCACTATCCCTAAACATTTAGTAGCCAGATTGGCTGATGAGTATTAAAAGAAATTAATTTTAAACCCTGATTACAAATAAATATTTTACAAATATTAGATGATTAATACAGAAGAAAATACTTCATTTGTTTATCTCATCATTATTTGGTTTCCATTTTCAGGAGATATTGGTGGACAGATGGGGCTCTTCATTGGGGCCAGTATTCTTACTATACTGGAACTACTTGACTATATCTATGAGGTATCTTCAGTTCATTGCGAAAGGACAGTCCTATGACATTCACACAAACACACTATCATAATACACACTATCTCTTGTCCTTTCAGTCTGCTTTTAATCTTTATCTCTGTAGGTGGTCAAATACAAAATCAAGCAACTCCTGAAACAAAAAAAGAGTCAGAAACAACAGAACCAACGGAACTTGATCCAAGAGCAGATCCAGAGAACAAAGAACCTGCGAGAACAGAACCTGAAAGCTCAGCTGGCAGCCGGAACTATAGCTACAGTCCGATTTGAAGAAGTCAAAGTCAAGGTGAGTCAGAGAAACATAGTGATTTTTTGCTTATATGCATTGCACCTAATAACTGATGATCCGCATCATGCGATTCGTTTGTCAACAGGCAGCTAATGAAGTGGCTCAACCGCACAGTGCACATCCAACTTCAATATTACCAAATCATCACAATGCACAAGCAGTCGTACAGCAGGACTTTGCTTGTTAAGGGACATCTCTTCTTCTCTGTATTTATTTTTCATATCACTGAACTTGAAATTGGGATCCTGACTGGACCCTGTACACTGAAATACAAATTTCATTTTTTCCACTTATAAAAGCTAGAGCCAAAGCCTAATCCAGGACCTCATGTGAAACCGGCTCAAACCAGTCACACCGTCACTGTTCTCATTGTTCAAGTCAATACCAGATGAAGAAATGTGTTTCACATGTGCTTTTGTTGATTTTTTTCCATCTGGATGGACCTATCATAGATTTCAAAGAAGAAAGGACCTGAAAGGATCAGATTCGGTCAGAATGTTGCATTTCACATAAATTACCTATTTGACAGGACAAATATGTACTAAGTGAAAGTTATAAGAGATGAACCAACCATACAGCTGTTGCTTAGTGCAGAAAAAAGGTTCTTCCTATGGTAATGTACAGTGCTTGCGCCATTTCACCTTTTCACATTTCTTAATAACATAATGAGACTTCTCAGTAGAAGAACAGCTAAAATATACCACTCGTTTCTCTGTGAGTAGGTGTTACGTTCTTTTTCAGTCTTATGTAACTTCTCCATTGTGCTGTAGACCTTATAATGAAACAGTCTGTCTCTACACTGTAAAAAATGACCGTGAATTTAACGGTAAAAGACTGTAAAAATGCTACAGTAAAAACCTGTTAAATGGTAAACGGTAAATTTCCCTACTATATACGGTGAAAAACTGTATTTTACATTTCAAATTTGATGTTTTTTTGTTGAAATAACTGTTTCTTCTTAGTTTTTTCTTATCAGTTTGGTATATTAGGGTTGTGTGTTACACCTAATGTTGTTAAATTAATTTTTATTGCATTATTTCAGTTTCACGTGTGTTACCATGAAACCATGTTACTTGGAAAGTTCAGTGTTTGTGTGAATGATACTGTGCACCTTCTATATATGTTAGTATTTAAAAGCTGCTTGTGATGGGCTTTGGTTCATCATGTGACTTTCTCATCACCACCTGCATTTGGTGGTTATCAGTGTATTACAAAGGTACAAAACAGATTTCAGTACTTCAATAGGTTGGTATATTAACATTATATCAGTTAATGAAATTACGGTATTTAACTGTAAATTTAAGTTAAAACCATAAAACCTAAAATGTTGCTACCATATTTTTTACGGTAAAATTCCGGCAACCACAGCTGCCGTTTTTTTACCGTAAATTTTACAGAATTTTTTTTACAGTGTATGAAACATGGAAAACACCACACTAGAGCACACTGTTTGCTGAAATCATCTCTAGTAAAAAATAAATAAATAAAATAAAATAAAAACACAACTAATATTCTTTATATGTATATACAAATGTAGAGGTGATATTTATTTTGTATTCAAATACAAGCACATTCAAATACAAACACATTTCAATTTGTAGTAACATTTTGCTGAATATCCATCATTTCCGTCTGGTCATAAATCTAAATAATAATAATAATAATAATAAATCAGTTTGAAAGGACTATAGAACACAGTAATACTGACTACAGATGAAACAAAACTGTCCGAGTATAACCTTAAAACCACCATGAGTTCTTCTTCTTCTTCTTCTTTTTTATAATTTCATGTCTTGAATAATGTATTGGAGACTGGTCACAAGCCAGAGCCTTCTGATTGAATATGCAGAATTTCCACAATTAACCTTGTACATGAGGACAGTATTTCAAGGAGAAAAAAAAAATCTGCTTTTACTGCCATCTAGTGGGCCTAATACTAAAACACAAACACCTATTATGTTTAATCAACACCACTTTGCATGAACTTGTCAAAGTCTGGTGGCTCAATAACAGTGGACATTCAAGGGTAGAAATGTCATATGAAATCATGGAAATTACTGTGGAAGTATTTGGTGAATAAAAAGTTGTTGTTTTTTTAACAAAATATCTCATGGGTATGATAATGACTGTAATCCAAGATGTGAGCAAATAGGTTGTGATCACATAATAATAATAATTATGAAAATGTACTGTCCCCTACATTGACATACTTTCAACAAATAGAATTAGAGCCTCTTAAGCTCTTCATCTGTAACCATTTCTGTTAGCAGCAGAACGGCGCACACTGTAAACATCTGCAGTGTGATGCACTAACGCTATAATCTCATTATAGCATGTCAGTTCCACAGAGCCCAACACCTGGTACTCTGCTCTCAAAGATCTTTATGTAAAAAGAAAAAATATGGAAGGAAAAAGTAAACCAAACATTATAAATATTCTTAAATATGTGGTTTATGCGCAAAACAACAACAACAAAAATTTTTGTGTTCATTTGTTTGTTGGTTGCATAGCTGAGAAGCATTTCACTGTGAAGGAGCAGATTTAAAGGCACAGATTTTTACATGGACAATATAGTTAGGTTGTCCCAGACAGCCACAGCTCACGGGAAAAGGAAGTGTGGGTGGAATACTGGAATGTATTTCTAACATGGGTGGATTCAGAAAACTGGAATAATGCAAAATACATTGTGGAAATAGCTTTATACATTCGCCCTTTCTGAACTGTCCAGTATTGTTGAAAACATACTTTATCCTCTCTTCCCTCAGACACAATAAAAATGCAAAGCAAATCCTTTCACTACAATTACTGTAAAAAAAAAAAAAAACAATCTATTCACATTCTCTTTCCCAGCTCCATCACTAGCCCCAAGTATACTTTGTTTTTACGCGAATGCTAGTGTATTCATATGCATAAATTTTTTCCCTAAAACAGTTAAGCAACAATACTTCATGGATTCAGTTCAGTTTAAATATAATGGATGGATTACAATGGATACATTTTTAGAATTGGCTGTGGGCAGGGTTTGTGCTGTACTGGTTTGGGAGGAGGGAAACATGCTATGCATACAGTGTGCGTAACATAAATTTCATCATAGATAGATAAATTTTTCCCATATGGATTTAAAAAAAACTTTTCAGTAAAGCGCTATAGACCATGAACAAACCCAACCCACTACAGGGTGAATCCCAACATTACAAACTTTCATTTGAAGTAAAAGGTATTTGAAAATCAGACAAAAATACAAACACATACAACACATATATAGCGGCTTTAGTGAGGGAATGAACTACAATCCCATGAAGCATTATAAATGACATGAATTAAAAAATATATCAGTATTCATTAAATGTTGTTTAATTCAATAGGAACAATATATTTTAAGTTTATTGTAAAATATGCATATATGCACAAATATTTAAGTTTTATGAGCGTGTAGAGAGAAATGTCAGATTCTCTGATTGGTGGACCTTTCTATACAGGATCATGGGTAATGTAGTTTTCAGCACAAATTCCGCCGATTCCACATGATTATTTTTAAAACGAGTTCAAATTTGAACAGATGTTTTTATAAAGGTTTAAAAGTTATCGTCAAAATCTATTTCCCCATGGAGACATTTTACTTACAGAACTTGGCTGTTACACGCTAGAATCTGCATACCGTATGTACGCTGGCAGATATTTTTAACCACGTTAACGCTGCGTTGATTTTTTTGCATTATTAGTTTGTTCACAAGGTGGCAACACTGACCTGGGCCATTTATTATTATAAGTTAAGACGTGTTCGCGCATGCTATCAAATGAAGTAGGCCTATACTTTGAAAGGCTATGGAGTTTGGCTGTATGCATATGCTAGCATCTCTCAGAACAGAACAGAAGTATAAGAAGTATACTTTGGGCTTAACTCCACCAGTCTGTAAGGTAAATTACATTTACCAATGAGGAATACAAAAACAATGGCAATTCATCCTAATGAGGCAGCAACATGAAACGTGCCTCAATACAAAATTCTAAAATTACTCAGAAAAGCACAGTGAAAGAATTGTTTTGTAGTGCATTAACAGTTGTGAGTCAAGTGCTCACGAAAAAGATGTCTCTAGACATTTCTTGTTAAATGTCTCAGAATGTTCCTTTCAGAACATTTCTCTGTGGTTTCAGTAAGATAATCAAATAGCTTTTACTAGAGAACTGGTTGACAGATGTTAAAATGGACAAGGAGTGCTGCTAGCGGTCAGCCAGTCTACAGTTACCCCCCTGTTGCTTCTTTGGAAGCTCCTCAGGTGTTGTTACCTGGCTCTTGTTCAAATACCAGCATGGCGAGCTGGGAACGTGACCCTTGGCTCTCCAGATTGCTCTGAAGACAGCGGTGGAACACGTCCTCACTTAGCCGAGGATCGCAGGTCCGGTTGCGGTACGCCTGCCGCAAGGCAGGCTCGACAGCACGGAACACATGCAGCCCCGAATACTGCACAAACACGTCATAAAGATCCAGGCTCTCCAGCAGCTCCTCATTCTCCTGCAAATCCCCAGACATCCGTGTGCGCGAGGACATGTAGTCAGAGTTGTAGAAACACCCCTCTTCAAAGGTGTATCGGTCAAAGTGACCCACTTCCCTGACCAGGTCTGGTGAGGCAGGAGGAACCTGGTCTGGATAAGCCACACCAAGGTCAAATTCTTGGAAATGGATGGGAAAGAAAGCCTGCCAGCCGCTGATGGCATTCATACGACAGCGATTCAAGAACTCTGAGTTGAGCATAGTGTCAACGGTGACCAAGAGGAAGAGTGTTTCCACCGGGTGCTTCCTAGATACAATATCCAGGATCCGCAGGAGACCCGGACTTTCTGTCTTTATGCTGATCCAAGACACCTTCACGCTGGGATATCTGTGCTCGATGGAAGTGATCTTAGCCTTGACCTCTGAAAAGACATCATTTGTACTCACTTTTTGGGCCTCGGCGGGTTCGTAGGTGAACAGGAAGTTAAGAACCGCATTCTCACCGGTCTCAAACAAGTTGGAGGAACAGTGATCTAAGAAGCGCAGCGCTGCATGGGAGTCATAACTGGTGAGGGGCAGGAGGACATGGACTCGTGTAGCCTCGGTGACATAAGGCATGGGGATAATCTCTACTTGGCTAAGGGGTCGCACAAGGTGTACACGGAGTGTGATAGATTTCTGGTGACCAGACTCAGTCGTGGCCTGGAACTGCAGGTCCAAGGTGTACTCCATCCCTCGTGTATGGTCCAAGCGCCTGTAACCGTTCACCAGCCGTGGAGCGCTCAGCTGTACAAAAGGGTTGTATTTTTTGTTGAGCTCTTCAA